TCCGACTTTGCCAATTGGTATACCTCCAGCCGCTTCCGCTCCTGGCTTGGGGCTGTTTCCATCCGTTCCCGGGTCTCAGCGAATCTGGGCCAGGAACTGGGGAGCCGGGTGGGAGCCCTCCCTCCTTCACCTTCCACACCCATCGACGCATCCAAGTGGCGCTGCTCTCCGTGTTGTCATTCACCACCCCGGATTCCTCGGGGGTCCTTCGTTGGTCCTGTTTTGACCTTTCCTATTCGTCCTCTGTGCTGCGGCCAAAGCAATCTTTTAAAAACGTGAAGGGATCGTGGAAGCCCCTTTGCCTTCCCGCTGCTCCGGCGGTGAAGGCCCAGTGCCTGAATGTAGCCACAGCTCTCCGGGCCCGTCATCACCGGCCTTCTGTCTGTCTCCAGGCTCCCTGCTGTTTGTCCTAGGGCCTAAAGGGCCACCCCCGACCCAGGTGCTTCCTCCTGCCCCTTCCCATTTCAGAACTCAAGGTGGCCTCCAGCCATTTCATGGAAGGGGGCGGTGGCTCTGCGTAGCGCTCGCTCCCTTTCTCAGTTCTGCCGTCTCCAGCTAATTCGTGCTTCCAGATCCCAGCTCAGGCGCCACTTGCTCGGGCCCCTGGGCCTCCACCAGAGTTTTCCATTGCTCGATACACTTGTTATTGGCATCTCTCCATTCGAGAAAGTCCAGTCTGTGAAGGTGGGCCAGGCCGTTCCGTTTGTCGGTGCTGGGCACACAGGGGGCGCTTAATCAGCGTGAAGAAAGACCACAACAGTCAGTGACCAAGGGCCTGGGGAACGTGGCTAAAGGCACAGCATCCCCGGGGGGCATGCTCACAGTCTCTGTCCCACAGAAAGACCTGGTTGAAGAGGAGGCAGAGGAGGCCGGGGTGACCCTGAAAAGCACCCAGACCACCCTCCAGGCGGGTCTGGCCGCAGACGCCTGGGCCGCCCCGATCGCCACCCAGATCTACAAGAAGCACCTGGACCCCAGGCCTGGGCCATGCCCACCCGAGCTGGGCCTGGCCCTGGGCCAGCTGGCTTGCTGCTGCCTGCACCGCCGGGCTAAGAGGAGACCCCCCATGACCCAGGTATCCTGGTGGGGAAGGGACAGGAAGCAATCGAGGTGCCCAGTGGCCATGGGGGACCGTGGCCTGCTGGAAACCCCGGATTCCTGCCTCTGCCCTGTAGTGAGCCAAAGACAGCACCTACCAAACATTGCTCACTTCGCCTTCGGTTCTGCCTGGGTTAGCTGGAGCCCCACTGAACCCCGCCTGGTACATAGAGAGGCAGGGCTGCTTTTGTGCCCCCTTCTGGATGTACTGTGCCCCTGCATCTACCTTTTTCCGTCCTCTCCTTGGCCCCCACCTCTGACAGTTGAGAATACAGAAGCCCCATGTGAGGGCAGCAAGGCAGTGAGATTCGTTTTCTAGAAGACAGAGAAGCCATTCTCAGTCCTTAGCTTTGGCGGCTGTGATCTCTCAGTGCTCCTTGTGGCAGATACAAAGGGACAAGGGACAGAGCTTTCCCACCTGTAGGCTGTGCCCGCTTAGCGGTCCCCACAGACGCAAGAGCAGCTGTGTGGGGCCTGGGGTGGCAGCCCAAGCCCCAAGGGAGGTCACAGATGACCTGGAGCAGCCTCGGGGTTTGATTGTCTTCCGTGAGGGATGTGAGTGACTGGTCGTTGTGGCCAAGCCTGGCCTACCCAGGGGCAGCGGACAGCCCCACCCGGGCCACTTGCCCTGAGCGCCCCTGTCTTTCCTCGCAGGTGTACGAGAGGCTGGAGAAGCTGCAGGCAGCAGTGGCAGGGCCGTTGCTGGAGCCAGAGGCTGCCAGCCATGGCCCCCCTTCCCCACAGGAGAACTCCTACATGTCCACCACCAGCAGTGCCCCAAGCAGTGCCAGCCCATGTCAGCCCCCGGCAGTGCCCTCAGGAGCCTTGGCCCAGGCTACAGAGCGGCTCCAGAAAGGCCCCAACCAGCCCGTGGAGAGTGACGAGAGCGTGTCCGGCCTGTCTGCTGCCCTCCATTCCTGGCACCTGACCGCGAGCTGCCCCCCGGGCACGACCCTGCCGGGCAGCCCTGGACGAGAGGCCGCCGTCTGGGCCCCAGCCTCCCTCAAGCAGGCCAGCTGTACTCAAGGGGGCACCACTCCAGAGTCGAGATCGGGCGGCAGCCTGGAGCTCCGGCCCACAGCTGTGGAAGGTAGCTGGGGACAGGTGCCCAGAATAGGGAGCAAGGGCCCTCTTTGGTGGCAGTCTCCATACTCCTCACGCCTGGCCTTCTGGGGCCTGCTGTTGAGCTCACTCTGTCCTTAGCGAGCTTCAGGCCTCTGTCTTGGAGCAAGCGGCCCACCTGCCCTTGGAAAGGGGCACAGAGGACAGCCCAGTGCTGCCTCATACCCCCAGGCCGTGCCCCACGGGTGGGTGAGAAGCTGGGAGCTCACTTCAGGAAAGCCGAGCACGGGAGGCTCTGTCTGGACCGGGCTCCTGGTGTAGCTGGGAGCCAGGGCCGTGGCACAGCCCCTTCCGGGCACTGCGCTCAGAGGGCCCCGGGGACTTCCGGGGCAGGGTGCCAGGCTGGGGGCCGGGAAGACTCATGTCAGCAAGGAATTCCCAGGTACGACTGCCCCCGAAGCTAAGAGGGTGCTCTCTCCACCGCAGAATCGCTCCTGGGCAGCTCTGCATCATCACGGCCCCCGCAGATTGTCATTAACCCGGCCCGACAGAAGATGGTGCAGAAGCTGGCCTTGTACGAGGACGGGGTCTTGGACAGCCTGCAGCTGCTGTCGTCAGGCTCCCTCCCAGGTACCCCACATGCGCTCTGCAGCTGGAAGGCCAGCCTCGAAGCATGTTTTCCGATCAGGCTCAGACACGGCCCCTGCTCCCCGAGGGTGTGGGACAGTGCGAGGGCAAGCCACCCGCCCCCTCTAACTGTGGCGGGCCCTTCCCCCGCCGCCCTTTGGAAGTTGGGTATTCTGGGCAAAGCCCTGTGCCGGCTCTCTCACCTCCTGACAACAGTACCCTTAACCT